GCTTCGGCAGCCGGGAAGGCAGCTCCTGGAGGAGACAGGGCAGTGGCAGATGCAGCAGCACCCTCTCTGCCACCAGAGAGAGACCTCTGCTACCGCCAGGCAGCAGTGCCAGGAGTAGTGGCTGCCCTGGGCTGGAAAACCCAGGCCAGAGCACCAGTAATACCCAGGAATCGTGCTCTGTCCTGGAAGCTGGGTAAGGAAAGGAGAGCCCAGTTCTGGATAACGTTGGCCTCAGGACCACGCTGACCATTTAGAGGCCCATGGGGAGGAAGGTGCATTTCCGTGGCCGAGCCAGGGAAGCTGGAGGTCTGTACTGACGGCCATGGGGCTAGAAGGAGGAGCAGGAGGCCATCGCAGGGTCTGCACCCTCCTCTGAGCCATAGGCCAGGGCTGGAGCCGTGTGGGAGATGCTGTCCCCATCCCCATGCCCTGGGCAGGACTCACCACAGCGTGGGTCTCCAGCGGTCTCGGTAGTCAAGGGTGCCATCACTGGCGGGTCGGTGTCTGGAGGAAGGCATGGAGGGAGAGCTGCGTCCCGGTGGGGCGGCTGCCAGCTCCCCCCGGCTTTGCCCCCCGCTTCCTCTTGGAGCCCTGCAGGAGAGGCCAGCTGGGGCTCAGTCAAACCCTGGAGGGGCCACCGAGGCTCCCAGGGACACCCCCCTTCAGGGCAGAAGCAGGGGAAGCCCCCGACACAGGCAACTTCCAGGGGCAAAACCAGCCAGGAAAATCCCCAAAACACAGCCCTGCCCCAGGCCGGGCATGCCCCAGGTCCTGCCCTGGGGCCCAACCCCGTGCCCCCATGGAGAACCCACATGCACCAAGGCCTCCAGCAGCACATGCTGTGGCCTGGCCCATGACAACACAAAGCGGCTCCTGTGTCCCTCCTGCATGTCCCCCGCCCCCAGCCAGGCCCACCTTGCCAAAGCCGTTCTGCTCCCCACGCTGCTTCTCACACGCTTTCAGCACCTGAAGGAAGCCCAAGAGAGCCCAGAGCTGAACGACATCCAGGGCCTGGATGTCAGGCGGACATCAGAGGGGCCAGAGAGACAGAGGGAAGTGAGACAAGGTCCAGGTCCCCCTGCTACCTTCTTCATGGCCGTAGACACAGCCGAGGCATGGAACTGCTCCTCTGTCACCCAGCGGGACGTGGACAACGCAGAGTCCAGGGTCACATCCCCATCCACAGGTAGGGAGTAGATCACATATGTCTGGTGGATGTGAGAGAAGATGTGGATGACCTGCGAGCAGATGGGAACAAGCAGAGATGGGCAGCTGGGAGGCAGCTAGGGATGCGTCACTCACATGACTCAGCTTCCCCACACATGAACCGAGGTCTGTCAGGGCTCAGAAGAGCAAGGCAGGCCCTGGAAGGGAGAAGGCTAATGGGAGGGAAGGGAAACCCCCTTCCTCATCAGCTACATCCCCCACAGCTGTGCACAGGGCTCACATTGCTCCCCTGCGACCCCAGGCTCACCTCTCCGACATACCGCAGGTCTCCTGCCGTGACAGACCGCCCTGTCCAGGCCTGCAGATGATCCGCCAGCACCTCCCTCTGCTTCTCTTCCTGCAGATCCAGAGCCAGCGGGAGGCTGGGGAACTCCCAGAGCCCAGCCAGGAGCCCTGGGGAGAGGGGAAAGGGATGTGACTTGAGGGGCGAGAGGTGCATCCGGGGACGCGGAGCCTTGTCACAGCCCCGACAGGCTCCTTCCGCCTCCCAGGAGCACTGCTCTGGTGTGCCCCGTTCCCAGGCTGCTCCATCCCTCGGACAGCCAGGAAGGGGCCGTGTGGTGCCTTTGCCCGCCTCGCGCCCAGCACCAGTACCCGAGCTGGGTCTCTGCACGATGAGGTACTCCGGGGCCCCGCAGCGGCCCCTCCGCTCCAGCACACACGTGGCCGTTCGCTCTACCCGCGGCTGCTTCTTCACTGCTTTCCGGGGAAAGTTGGTCACCCCCAGGCTGCTGTCCCATGGCTCTATGGCTGGGGGGCACAAGGGACAGCCCCCAACACCTGCAAACACCAAAGCAACGGTCACCGTGGGGCCCACCCAGAGCCACAGCAGGGATCCCCCCCCATGCCAGGGGCTTACCACAGTCCTCCACGTCCGGCACCGGGGGGCA